CAAATGTTGACATCTTTCAAGAATTGATGGTCAAGTGGCCTGTAGATAAATAATTTTGGGGAGGTCAGAGTTGTCTGTATTAAAAAACCCCAAAACAAAACTCAATCACCCAAAATTACACATACATAAAAACCAATACTGAAATGAAAAGAAAGAAAATAAAATGAATGTGTGATAGCATTCTTACTTTATCAAAGATGCATATGAGAAAGACTGAAAGAATACACGGTTTATGCTTATAATGCTTATGAATGAGTTTAATACTTTCTCTTTCCTAATTTAAAAAATTTCTCTCCATGATCATATATTACTTTCACGATTAGTAAAAGCTTTTCTTATTTTGAGCTTTCTCAGCCTTGGGCATTTCCATCTGGCTGAATTAACTTAATTATCTTCTCTCCTGTCCCCTTGTCAGACTTACTTCCTTTGACATCTTAACTTGTACTGCTGTTGTTATTTACCATTGAATTTATTGTAACTTAACAGAACTCTATGTGTGTCAAAGTAGAATTGTGCTCCACAGAGTTTTTGGAACCTTTTGGAATCACTTCACTAGGCCTTCCCTGCAAGGCACATCTAAGTGAGTTTGTACTAATAATACTCTTTCTGTGCACCACTAGGAAAATCAACTATATTAAAACAGCACCATAAACTAAAACTTAAAGAAAAAGAAGAAGGCATTTGGGAGCAAAAATAATTTTGTTGCTTGACATCAGCAAGAAAGCATTACACTTAAATTTATCTGTTATTTTTTAAATTTGTAAAGATAGTCTGGATGAACAAGACTGTCTAGGACTCTGAACTCATGGACTGGTCAGATAGGGAACTCCAATCACCTGCTTTCTGCCTCTTCCTGTTCCTTTTATGGGTGCAAGCTCTCATTTCCAACTTTGCTCGTCTTATTTGTACATATACTTATTTACTCCTTTTGATCCAGCAATTACCCCTAACTAATAAAATTTAAAAATGTATTCTTTCCTATCATTTGTAGTTCTTTCTTTTAACACTCAAGATCCTAAATTCATTTCACACCAAATTTTATTTTTAGCATAAATTCAAGATTTCCAACAACTGAATGCCAAATAAACTTTGAGAACATAACACATTTTATCTAAAAGGGTATTTGTGCAAGGAAACAATTCTCTCCCTGTGTTATCTGTCAACTGGCAATGGGAAGATTTTCTTGCTCATACTGTAAAGAATGAGATAACTCAGGAGGCAAGGATAGTGAAGCTTTACCTCACATACTTTGTTAGGAGATTCCAGAACTTGGAAAAATATTTCATTCTTGGAAAGGTAGAGCATGAGCGTAAGTGAAAAAGATCCTCAACAAGATGAATTTACAAAGTATGTGTAACAATGGGTTTAAGTGTTGGGTTTAAATGTATAAGGGAGGATGAGAATGGCACAGGAGAGGGTAGGGTTCAGATCTCTTGTTCGTAGGATCACTAAGGCTTGACGGCATTTAACAACACTTCACTTGTCTATGCATCTACTTTATTTAAAATACGAACATTCTAAATCCCTTACCAAGAACTAGTAATTCTTTACCGGTAGAGATGTAGAAGACAGAAGGAGAATTGATGCCTTTGAGCTGTGGTGCTGGAGAAGAGTATTGAGAGTACCATGGACTGCTAGGAAAACAAACAGATTCATCTTGGAAAGGATTAAACAGGGTAGCTCTTTGGAGGCAAGGATTCTGAGGCTTCGTCTAACATACTTTGGACATGTTTTAAGAAGAGACCGGTCCTTGGAGAAGGACATCATGCTTGATAGGGTGGAGGGACAGCGCAGGAGGGGAAGACCCTCTATGATGTGGATTGATTCAGTGACTGGGATAATTGGGATGGGAGTGTCAGAGACAGTGCGATTGGCACAAGACAGAGCAGAGTTTAGGACTGTTGTACATAGGGTCGCTATGAGTCGCAAGAGACTCAACAGCACATAACAACAACAGCAATATAATAATAGATGTTAACAGAATTAAATTTTTTATATTTATGTCCTGATTTTGAAACCATACATGATAATTCTTCTACATCTCTACCGGTAAAGAATTACTACAGATGAAAGTATGATACTAAGGTCAAAGATCTTAAGAGAAAACAAAATTACATGAAAAAGTACAATTCTGAAATTAAAACTCATAAGAAAAGTCTGAATTCACATATTGGAGAGACTAAGAAATGGAGATCTTGAATGATTTGCCAAGGTAAGGCAGTAAATGACAACGTGAAACCAGAAACTCGTTTTCCTAATTGCAAGCTCAGTATTTCTTATTCTAGTCTGTATTATCTTTGCTGCCACAAGGCAAACCATGTTATTGTCTTTCCCACTTTAGAAATAGGTTGTATAAAAGTTTCCTTTGTGGTCTGATGGCAAAACACACCTATTAATTTAAGAAATGCCAACTGCTGATCATTAATGACAAAATTCTTTGAGTATATTCTTCATGGATTTGATTTGCCTTTCATTTTCTAAGACTGTTGGGAGAAATTACTTTTGTTAAGAAGAAAGAGCTCTTATATATTATTTTGTCTATCATTTTGGGAGAGGAAGTAAATCCTAGTCAGTTGTAGTGTGAATTTTGGAATCTGTTACCTTTTAGTCTGATTCTATTTCTCCCTCATGATACTACTTCTGCTGATTAGTATTATTTAATGACACTCCAGCATAGAAGATGGCTCTGGGACCATGACTTTTTTTTTTTTTTGAAGGGGGAGACCATGAATCTTGATCCATTTTTTTGAAAAATGAAAGTTATCTACAAATGTCTATTGCAGTTTTCCATTGAGAAGACACCAAGAAAGAGAAAAAAGAGAGATGTGCCGAAGAAGTTGACACCTTTTGGTGGCAAACCTCTAATAGACAATTCTGCATGGTTATTTTGTTCCTCTTACCAATCTTTTATGTTAGGGAAGGCTAACCTTATATTACTAGCAGCAAATAATTTGAAGCTTTATAAATAATGCATTTCATAGTTACACAAGCTGGTCACTGTGGAGCTGGGTCCATCTAGGTCTAGCTGTGACGATTGTATTGACTTCTGGAGAATATGAATAAGGTGAACCAATAAAAATAACAAGTGTGGTTCAGTACTAATATAGTAATAAGGATAGTCAACACAGAGCTTTATATGAATAAGACTGGTAGAGAGCCTTTGTGCTCTCTTAGTGAAACAGGAAGAGGAAACATACTTCAGATTTCCTTTGGCTTTTTTTTTTAATCATTGAAAGACTCAACTTTGTTTTGCATTTACCAGATTATGTGTTCTTGTGAAATCAAACTGAATACATTCCTAATTCTTCAAATGGATAAATACATCTTTCAGGTTCAATATTTGACATTGTAAATTGTGATCACAGTTCATATTTACTGGATGGGAATTATACATTGTACTCAGAGTTCTTTTTCCTTTGAAACTATCATATACCTTATTTCTTTAGGTGGTCCTTAAAAGAGAGATGTGTGAAAAAGCAAGTTTGTATTCTGTGGAAAATCATTGACCTTTCAATTTTTTTATACCTAAATAATTTTTAAAAAATTTTTTGAAGAGTACAGACTATCTCATGGACTGCCAAAATAACAAAGAGGTATGCATGTCTAGGAAAGGGTGCAGCCAGAAAGCTCCTTGTTGATAAGGATGACAAAGCTTCTTCTCACATACTATGGTCCTGCTAGTAGAGAGACTATTCCTTGGCAAGGGACATCATACTTGGAAAGATGGATGAGGAAAAGAGGAAGACCCTTCGAGGAAATGGATTGACACCCTGACTGTAACAATGGGCTCAAGTATGTCTGAGATGCTGAGGATGGCACAGGATAGGACAGGGTTCAGATCTGTTGTTCATAAGGTTGCTAAGGGTTGTACTTTACTCAGTGGCACCTAACAACAATTCACCAGTCGCTCTTGGAGAAAAAAAAATGGGCAATCTCCTCCTCAGCGATTTACAGCCTTTATTGGAGTGTCAACTATGGTACATAACAGTAATAATTTTATATTATACTGCAACTCCAATATTAGTGTTATGTCCGATTCTTAATGTTTTAAAGATGTCTAGGTCTGTAGGTCTGTGAAACACGAACATGTCTAATTTATAAATAATCACTATCGGTTTTTTAAACCACTATCTAATGGATTCATAATCGTTTCCAGTTAATGGTTTGATAACAAACTTAGGTTAAAGATGTACACAGACTTGAGAATTGATTCTCTATAATTAAAACTTAATTCTAACCCACAACTTCCTAAAAGGGATACTGTTGTTGTTGTGTACCATCGAGTCAGAACTGACCGTTTTCAGAGGCAGTTTATGGAAAATTACCCAACCATCTCCCCCGGAGCAGCTGGTGGATTTGAACCTCAGGCCTTCAAAATTGCAGCGCAGCTTTCAGTTTTGTCATTCAACTTGAATACAAAGACTTAGTGATGAGATCTCTAAATAGCCATAATTTACATAGAGAAATAAAAATGAATTTGAAAGAATCCATTTCTAGGAGCAGCGGTGCTTGACAAGAGTTGGACCTAGAACAGTTTGCAGTATAATTTTTTTAAAAAAACCCTTAAAACTCCACCTCCTTGCCTGACGTCGCCTCACAAATTTCTAGACTCACAAGAGAAAAAGAAGAGATTTTAAGATCTTAAGAGTCTCGCTCTTTGTAAGCCCCCTTCGGACTGAGTGAGGCCCGCGCCTTGCCAGGCCCTGCGGGCTGCGGAGAGGGCGGTGAAGAGTTAACGTGGGACTGAGCCCCCCGCTCCGAGGGCTCCCGCGCGCTCCCCCTCCCGTCCGTCCCCACCCTCTCGTTTTGGCAAGGGATTAAAGTGCTCCCCCCTGTGGCAGCAATGACCCACAAATGAGTTTGATTCACATAGTCCTTCCTCCATAACCAGCCAAACGTCCGTCCGAGAGTGTCTCCGTGCGCGAGTGCCGGGTGTGTGCGCGCCGGCGAGAGCAGGGGCCCGCCCGGCTCCCCGCCCGCCGTGGCCCGAACTCATGCAGCGCGGAGTGAGCGAGCGGCGCGGAGCCCAGCGGAGCCTCGGCCGAGTCTCTCCGCAGCAGGTACGCGCGGGCCGCGGGGGGCGCGCGGGGTGGGCGCGCCGTGCGTGTGTCCGCGCGTGTCTGCGTGTGGGTCCGTGTGCGCGTCCCGATTCCGCGGCAGCGTCGGCTGTAGCAGCGGCGGCGGCTGCAGGACGAGCCGAGCAGGCTCAGCCATATTTGATGGTTTTGTTGCTTTGCTCGGGAGTTCTCGGGAGTAATTTAATGCCGAAGGTCGCTGCCTAGTGGAAATAATATAGTACGTCATTAATATGGCGCCAAAAGATTGGGTTCTCGATATGTAGCGAGGAGGGAGGGAGGCAGCCAGCCGCCCAGCGCAGCGTTACTATCCCAACAGTAACTTGGGCATTGCCGGGGCGGGGGCCGGAGAGGAGGAGAGGATGATTTTTGGATCCTGAGAATTGTTCTATGTTTTATCAGTAAGTTTTATTGTTATTATCATTGTTAATTTTTCAATTTTGAGAGGCTGAAGACTTAGACCTTTTTCTTCTTTTGGAATTGTGAAGAACATGCGATTTTCAGGTGAATCATCAGTTAAACGCGTTCTGGAGCAGAAGCCCAGTTTAGTTGGCTTTAGTTTATATTCTTTAAAAAGCCAAAGTGCATTGGAGTGCATGAAAGTGGAAAGCATAGTAGCAACTTGGTAGACAGATGGCAATGGCAGAACGCACGTCCGCGTATATATCTGAATCCAGAGTGTGTGACCGTGTGGCGAGGAACTATATTTGTCCAAACATAGGTGTGTGTGTAGAAATACATCTATTTGTGTGGGGTGTCCGCAGTCCTGGCTCTTGTCACCGCGTCACTACACGTCCAAGATATTCATTGCATCAATTCAAGGACAGTGAGCAAGAGGTGGAGGGACAGCTTGGCAAATACTGCTTCAAATTGGGTTTCTAATGATCAGACCTATTACTTACAAGACTGCCTGGAAAGTATAAAACCCTTCATCGGTGAAATTAAGAAGGAGTTGCATATGTAGAGCAAAGTACTAATTAATCATGAACTTAAAACGGATTGCAAATTGTAACCTTTGGCACCATCTGCGAATTGTGGGGGTGGGGTCCCCTGGTCTCGGGCGCTGCCTTAAATTGAACGTGCTAATGTTACCGGGTTTGCAAGTTGCAGAGCCCTTTAGTGCACGTGTCTTGTGCCTGTGAGTGTGTTTGTGAGTTGAGGGGTGTTGTTCGGTAGCCATCAGGCTTTCTAGGCTGCTCGGCTCTGGCTTGCAAATGCGAAGAGGGATGGAATGTGGAATGTTGACCGGGAAACCGATTCCTGTCGGAACGGTCCCATT